ACGACTCAGGTCATTACTCTCAGACAGCACTGCCGACCCATTTGCGCTTTATTCCAGTCCTTTGTGCATCCCATGGTAGTCCCATCCGGGTTTGCATGCAAAGCGGGATTCAAATGGGACTCTCCCAATAGGACCTGAATGGAACCCTATGGGATGGTCCCCCGAAATCACCGAAAGAACAGATTACTCAAATATTATATTTTTCATGACCAACTTGCAATTATTACTTGTATTCAGGTTTTGGTATCTTGTGCCTACTCATTGTGTATGACCGCATGTGAAACGTTTGCACATAAGATTCTTATCAACTCCGCACATCCGCTACGCGAAGATTTAACTTCCTGTTTTTCCCATTCATCAACTAGATCCCAATACCGTTGTGTTCCCTCTCGAATAAACACACATCGCAACAAAAGGGACCAGTCAGCGTAAAGGTGGTCGTGAATAGGGGATTCACGATGACAATCCGGGAGAATTACCGCAGGAAAATGTAATCTGATGAATCGGAAGCATAGTTTCCCCGTAACGAATTTGAATAGAGAAGCCAAAAATAGGTTTGCAGAATGTATTCTGGATCGTTTCGTTACATATGTACACGTGCAGTTTGCGGTTTATGTGATCAGTAGAATATGGTCGCTAAATAACAGAATCATAGGCGGAGAAAGATTTGCGGTCAAAATTACTCATCAGACACATTTGTTACCAAGGTAGCTCTAGAGTGATAAGCCTTTCACGCTGTTTAGCATCTCAAACAGTGTAAACGGTCTGATTGACCAATATTATCAAGGTCCCATGCGAGGAATGTGCGTGTATGTTTGTAGTTTTCCTCTCAGGATGTAGATACGCACAATAGCTGGAACGGATAGAATATGTGAGACGCACTGACTGATTGCTCGACAAGGAACACCGAGTCGAACCAGAGAGAAGTCACAATTCACAGTGAGGAAACGTATATTTCAGATGTGTACAGTCAACACGCTCATGCGCAAACAGGGGGGGGGGGGGGGGGGAGGGAGCACAGACGATCAGCTAAACAACTTCACTTAATCACGTTCATTCACCATTAGGCTTTTGATCGTACAGTCATCTGTGTGGCTCCGGTGTGTTGACACGGGGAGCTATCTTTGGAAAAGAGGAAAAAAGTACATCAAAGTAGTGCGGGAGTTTCAAGTCTGTACGGAACGTTACGGTGTGTGTGTATGCATGTCTGCGTGTATCTAGTATTGATATTGCGTGTTCAATGGTGGCAAGTTGTTCAGCAAATGCGTTAGGCCGTACAACACCAATAATGATAAAAAACGGATTACAAAAGTTACAAAATCTACTGGAAACTGGGTTCAACAACGATAGCACTGGTAAGTCTACACAATATTTCAGTTGCAAAACCTCCCTAAGACGTGTAAATCAGGAATTCCTATTAGGCTTATCCTATTGATGATCACTTCTCCAGAACACAAACTGACAATATGGTTGGCTTAGTTACTGAATTCAGTTATGGATTACATGTATCTACAGATGCGAAATATTTCGGCAAGTGGATGACCCGAAAACAAAGAGGAATTTTTAGCTTCAATGGAGATTGCATCACTGTTCACTAAAGTACCGCTGCGCCAGACAATCGAGCACACTCCACAGTTTATTGGGAAGCGAAATCTAAAAGCCGATTCACCGATGGCGGAGCTGAAACGTCTCTTTCTATTATGCATTTTAAACATCAGCTTCCGTTTATAACAGAAATTTTACCAGCAAGTCAAACTCGGGATTCCGATACTAAACTTAGCAGGACGTCTTTCAGCGACAACCAAGGAGGCTGCAGAAATGCTTAGACTACAGTGCTCTCAAGTGATCAATGCGCCTAGTAATACTGGGTTAGTACTTCCCCGTTTGCTGGAACATGTTCCTTACCCATTACTGACAGACATTATCTTTTCTCCCGAAAGGATAAAGGCAAAGCTTCTGGCTTTAAAGAAGGACTAATCACTGGATTTAGATAACATACATCCACAAGCCCCTAACACCCTGGCAAGTTACATAGCCGATCCTTTGAGTGGACTTTACCAAAAATTGTTCGAAGATGCTTTGCTTCCTCCAGTGTAGAAAAACGGTGTCATTTCACCATTTACAAAAGTGGATACCGTAGTAACCTGGCCAGCTACCGACCCGTCACTCTCCTTTCAATGTTTCCCAAAGTCATGGAATCTATTGTTGCAGATTCGGTGATGGATTATCTGGAGAAAAATGACTTACTATCCCCAGCCTAGCATGGGTTTCGAAAAAATCGTTCATGTGCAACTAACTTGATTTGGGCTCGGGTCGATTGGACTCATGCTGTAGACCAAGGCAAAGGGGTAGGTGTTATTTACCTGGACTTCTCTAAAGCATTTGATAGAGTAAATCATCAAATACTGATACGAAAGCTGTATAATTATAGGATCTGTGGACTCGTACTTGGCTGAATCGAGGAGTTTCTTCGCCTACGTACCATGTCAGTTCGTGTTTCCGGTTCACACTCTGATCCAATAGATTTCAACCGTGGGGTTCCACAGGGATCTGTGCTAGGCCCACAGTTTTTCCTTGTCTTTATAAATGATCTCCCAGACGTCCTCAGACCACAAACTCTTCTGTTTGCAGACGATGCCAAAATATGGAGGACAATAACANCAAAACCAGAAGATTCATTTGACCTCCAGAACGCCCTTGACGAAGCCCACAGATGGTCTGTCTCCAGTGATATTGAATTCAACGTCACCAAATGTAAAGTCGTATCACAACCTCACAACGGTTGTTTTCTCTACACTCTCGGACACGAAACTCTGCCTCATGCTCCATCCAAGAAGGATCTGGAAGTAGTCATTCGCACAGACTTCAGCTCCACAAACTGTTCGAGGGCATCATCCATGGCGGTAAAACACGTTGGACTGCTCAATCCTGTTTTTGGATCGTTTTATTCGGCTTTGTTTCCATGTCTGTTAGTCACATATATCCGTCCATAAACCGAGTACTCAATTCAGGCCTGGAACCCATGACTGCATCGAGATCGGAAGGCGCTCGAACATCCGCAGAGAATGGCTACCAAGATGATCAAAGGTCTATATCCCAATACCTAGGGCGAAAGATTACAGCTCTTGGGGGTATATTCGTCTCAATATTGTCAAACAGAGGTGATATGATCTTACCGTATCGGATTTTCCAACAGCCCAACCATCCATGTAGACATCTTTGGTTCTATCAACCAATGTTCATCTCAGAGGGCATCCACTGAAGTTGGCACTCCAAAAGAGCCATCTCGACCGCAGACACCATTCGTTTGCAGTCAGTGTGCAGCACATGGAACTCCCTACCACCTCACGCGGTCTGTGCATACAGGGACTAATTGTGATCTTGTGAATCGTGTTCCCAACCAAAGTGTTAACACCCTATGGTATTTGATAAGCGAAGTCTTTGTAAGTTTTTCCCATTATAAAAATTTGAATTTGAATTTGAACTAGACGCAATGGTGATTGAAATCCCCTGGGATCTATGCTCGCTGACCGATTTGTCACTGAGTTGGAAAATGGGACACCATATACCTCAGATCAATTTATATTATATAGAAGATACGTTGACGATATAAGAAGAAGAAGAAAAGATGGACAAGTTATTTCTTCCCTTCAGGTTATGAACAGTTTATAAAAAAATGTATACTTCTATCATCGGAATTAGATCAAGACGAGTGCCTCACATTCCTGGATTTTCTAGTTAAAAAAGAAGCAAGACAGAAAGATTCACAGGACTGTAAACCTCGAAGTACCTGGAAGGGCCAACATCTACAATTCCATAGTTTCGTGCCAATCAGCCATAAACGCGGTATAGCAAAACCGACGTTCCATCGAGCACGGTGCATCTGCAGTGAGGATATTTTACAAGCGAAGTTAAAAAAAACTCAATCTAACTAGCACCAAGAATGGTTACTCGAACAGTTTTGTTAAAAAGTTCGACCGGACATCGGGGTAGAGAAACAAGTAGTATATTATGTCCCTCGGAAAAAATATTTACATTTCCCTCTATTTCGAAGGCAACGATATCAGTCCGGTCATCTATGGCCGACTGAAGCCAGTGGGGAAGTTCCCTTATAATGCTGCCAACCCAATCGCCTTGCACACAACAACCCGCAATCTCATATCCACCCATAAAACAACTCTTGACATTGTCCTCTAAACCACACGAACTAGACCAACTCGAATGTGGATGTGGACAATCTTACATTGGTAGAACTACCAGACAGTTACATGCGCGGATCGAGGAAGACATCGAACGCTGGTTTAGATGCCATTTGACCGAGTCACTTGACCAGAGGTCATGCTTCGATTTGATCCCCCAACCTCACACACTAAGTACATACTAATAATCCAAGCATATGGAACCACATTACACCATTCTCAGCCTCCACCTCTATTCACAAACGTCGAATACACAAACAAACTGTAATACCTCTCTCACTCGACATCTGTTGATGAAGAACCATGGTCCGGACCCCAGGGGCCAATCGAGGATCATATACGCTAACACCCATCCCCGGCTTCTTAGGATTGCGGAATCTCTTGCAAGTTGAAGAAGGAAACCCGAGTTGTGTTTAAAAAATCAGTTATCCGTTACTACCTTTCCAGTATTCCAAGTGTGATCGTTTGATCCTACGGTATGTGCTGTCAAATGATATAGTTCGTTGTGTTCTGCTACATTGTACCCAGTTCAAAAGTGTAGACATCTGTCTTGACATAAGTTGTGCAGTCTAGTAACCAAAAGTAAAAAAAATTTATTCTGACAATATAATACTGATCAGTCACACTGAATTTGGAGAATATTAGTAATTGGTGGTGACTGATCGATTTGCCAAAACAGGGTCATGTGAACACTCACGTGAGTGGTGGTGCTCGTACTTGTTCTTACAGGTTTATAAATCCAATCATTTTCTGGAATTGCATTGACTAGCTAAATCATATTGACAGCGTGAGTCTTAGCAAATGCCTAGTCCAGGGCAAGCCGAATCTGGCTCGAGTTCACTTGTGAACCATGTGTGTCTGGTAACTGGGGCAAGTCGCGGTATTGGACGAGGAGTAGCAGTGTCTTTGGGAAGATGTGGAGCCGTGGTCTACATCACTGGTCGTACACTTGGGGAAGTCGACGATACACCAGACAAGAGTACTCTGCTAGCCACGGCGAAAGCAATCACTGAAGCCGGTGGAGTAAGTTCGCAATGATATCAGAAATGAATTTTGAATAAATACATCTGTTTAAAAGATCCGTTACCTCTCCTTTCGTGCGTGCTACCCACGCTTGTATACCTTAATGAACAATGCATTCATTGTGACGGAAAAAGCGTAAAATAGCTTGATCTGGATAACCTCGTATGCAAGTTTATAGTATTATGTAGAGCCAAACAGGTTCAAACATGCTTCAATGTTTACAATATGATTTGTCCAATTAATGTACTCATCTCTACGTAAATCTCCTAAACGAGATTAGATTTTCATGGAGAAGTGTCCATGATCGAGACTGATCATCTCTCAGACGCACAATCCTCAGTTCATACAGTCAACCTGTAGTAGTTGAAGTAGGCAAAGATCACGAATTACGAACCATGAATCAGGAATCAATAATCACGGACGCAACGGAAACAGTAAGTTGCACTAGCACTTGCACACTCGTATCTCATGTAACCAGGACGCAAGGAAAAGGCCACAGAAGTAGCAGTTCCTTTATATCAAGATCGAAAGAAGACATATGTCGCGAGATGTTAACATTTCGTTTAATCTTCTCAATCGCTGACGTAAAACAAACAAGCACATTTATAGCACTTTGAATTTGTAAATCGTTGAGAACGGATACCTCAC